GGTTCATTTGCGCCATTTTATGCTTGACAGATCCTGATAAGCTGCATTTGTAAGTCTATAACATGGTCTCGCCCTACAAAATCCACTTTCTCGCGCTGTTCTTGAGTTCTATTGAATGGATTTGATAAAACAAATGCATAAATTCTATTTACTGATTTACAGGAAGCATTGACTTATCCTTTCTTTTCTCATTTTTTCCATTCAATCTAGGAATGCAATTTGTGTCGTGCAGAACAATGTCCGAACATTCGCAGATTTAGCCGAGTGGCAATGGTTCCGCCTGCTTGCATTGGTTAGGCCTCTGATACCCAAGGTAGTTTCATAATTAGCCATACATATGTTTTATACTAAGTAAGACCAATCTTATAATGCTCTTTTTTGTAGGAGAGAGATAAGGAGCGAATAAAAGAGCTGGAAGAGTTGAACGAGGAACTTGAGAGTGAAAATGAAAAGCTTCGCCGTGAAAGCCTCATGCTCTCTACGGTAGAAGATTTTTCTTTATTAATTAAGATAGCAGGTTCATAAACTATCGTATAGAATTGTGAGCTACTCCAAGAGAAGGTGCAGGAAGCGGAACAAAGCGCTGAAGAAGCTCGAACACTTATTGAAAAGGTAAGATCTGGAGGAAGAAAAAAAACGAGAAACCTTTCTGAAAAATGCTTTAAAAAGTTGTAGATTACTACACTAGAATTAATACGAAACAATTAGTGATAGCGCCTTTAACTAAGGTATTTGATCGCTTACAAAAATTCTGATCTAACGCATATATTAGGAAATTGCTGAGAAGAACAAAGAGATTCAAAAGGTACGCAGGGAAATGCAGCAAAACGAAGATGTTTTCGATGTGCTTGAGAAGAAATACAACGAACAGCACCAGAAAGTTATGGTAAGCTTTGATTTTAGTAAGGTTGCTCTCTTTAGATCTTATCTTCAAAATGGCAACATACGCTTAATTTAAAATTTCCAATTTTTTTAGTAGTCTTCTAATCGGACTTCTAGCCTGAGCATTTTTCCAAGAGTTCGACTGAGATGCTGATCCATTTTCAGGAAACATCTTTCTTCAAGTGCCTCTCATAGGAAAATGAACCACAAATTAGCATTGTGAAAATGCTTTAGGCGGCCCAAGAATTATCTTAAAAGTTTGAGAAGCAAGCTGGGAAATGAAGCTAGAGACTGAGATTTTGCCTAATCATTCGGCGTTATTTGAGTCTTTTTTGTTGCGCTATTTAACCTTCTCATTCCAATTTTCTCTACAATTTTGCTTTTGAATTCTTTGAATTACAACGACAGCCACATTTTTCAGAAAATGAATGAGTCACTACGTGAATATGAACGCAAGTTGGACCAAGTCGATATGGAAAAGGAAGAATTGGAAAAAGAAGTTAAAAAGGTGATAT